AACGGACAGGGCACCCCTATGCCTCTTAGGCGGTGGATCGAAACCACAATGTCCCTCTTACAATTCTAATAAAGAACATGTAAAGAAATAAAATTGTTAAAGGATGTTAGAGTGTTAAATTTGGAGGAACATAAGTCAACCCTCCATGGCATGACTGTTTTGTTTTTTGTTTTTTTGTAGAAGAAAATATTTTTGCAGTTTTGTCAGAGCTTCATCATCTGTAATTACACATCAATCATAAAGTCGGACCATGACACTTTCTGGAACCAAATATTATTATTACCTTTATGTTGCTTGTTATTTATTTATTATTTCTTTTTGTTACCTCAGGTCAACGCCATGCCATAGAAGGGTAATGAACTATTAAAGAACAAAGTCTGAAATTTTTTTGTGTTAGTTTTTATATACATTTTGTAATCCAAGTTAAAAAGAATAAATGTTAAATTTTATGAAAATATAAAATGGGTGAAGTGTTAGGAGGATCTAATTGTCATCTTTAAAGTAAAAAAGTATTAAAATTATATTCACTAAGTTGTTAACCAAAATGTAAATTGAATAGAATTGTAGGATGATATTTCAAAACTTAATAAAATGCAAAAATGAATAAAGTGTTAGGTTAATATTTAAAATGAATAAAATGTAAAATGAATAAAAGGTAGATATTACTTAAAACTTAATAAAGTAAAATTAGAAATGTTAAGGTACTATCCTTTAAAGTCAATGAAGCAATAATGAGTAATGCGTAAAACAATGTGTTAGTTTTAAAAACCAAACTTATTGAAATTTCTATGTAATATTTAAAAGTTAATGAACTACAGAAAGGATGCAATGTTAAACGAAATGAAATGGTAAGAAAAGCTTAGAAGTCTGAGTATTGAAAGGACAGAACAATGAACACATTCATAAAACAGCAAACCAATGCAATAAATCAGGATCAAGGGCAGCACAGTCAAAATATACTGATATGAATGAACTGTGATGAGGAAACAAGTAAAAATGCTCTCTAAGTAAAATGCAATAATAGTAATAAAATCTAATCATATCAGTCTCTCTATAGCGAGACCTTTCTACGTCAAATCAGTTTCTGCGTGTGTCCAGATGTAGAGCCGGCGCAGCTCGATAGGAAACCCCAGGAGGCTTCAGTGTGGCGTTTCAGCTTTAACTCGGTCCACCAATCGTGGAAGGCGCCCACAGTCTCACACCCCGGCACACCCAGAAAGGATTGGACTTCATTCTGCAACAGAAAAAACACAACAAAAAGCAAAATCAATGGATTATATAAAGAACATTAAAGTGAATGAAAAAATGTTGTTTTGTCACTAGATACTAGTACTGCCCTTATACTATAGAAAGCTGGAGGTCCACGGTCGTCTTTAGGTTCTGGGAAAACATCTGATAGGCAGGTGGGGTTCTATTGGTACCGCTGCCCTTCTCTGTGTTGGAAGTGATGCACTGAACAGCCGAGGACCTCAGGCAGGGAACAGCAGCATCCACAGGTGATGAGGAGAGCAAGGAAGGTTCTTTAAGATTCTGCATCATCTGATTGTAAATATAATGTTCTTTTTTCTTTATTTAAAGGCTGCTCCTTGAAGCTGAAGATCAAGATTTTTTTTATTTTCATACTAAGCCAATAGAGCATCAATATATCAGTAACATCTGTTATTTCAGTTCTCCTCTTAATAATAGCAAAAGAAATGTTTAAAGTCAGTAACACCTTGTACATTTCAACCTTCAAAAATAACTTTGCTTGTTTTAAGTGTTGGCATATTCATAGGATCAGACAAAATCAGAAACCAAACAAAAAAATCAAGTAAAAGATCAGATTATGAAATAAATGTACAAAACTGCCCACAGTCACGTTTTATCAAAGAAATATCATTTGAAATGTATATAAGATTTATCCCTAATAGAAACTTTACCAGAAATCTTAAACCATACATAAATGTTTTGCTTTTGTTATTTTAATTAACTTCAATCAAATAGTCCTCATTTAACAAGAAGTAACCCTCTACACTAAAGGCTTGTAAAGTATCATCAATACTGTGAAAAGTTAATGATCCGTGCCAAATTAAGATCCCTTGTAATATATTCCATTCATGTAATGAAAGACAACTTTATTTTGTCTCAGACCAAAAACTGTAAATTATGATTATGAGAAATGTTTAGGCATTGGATCAACAATTACACATAGGACTAGATTCTTTTATATTCTGTCAATCTGTTGGGCCCACTTTAAGCGATTCCATAATTGCTAATTTGTAAATCCCAATTTAGACCAATTTCTATGTGAATCCTCATATTTTCTTTCCATTTTAAACCTTCAAAGAATGATTAGCCTGTTTTTTTACAAGAATAAAGTTAACCCTGTCACTCCATATTTAACTGACTTATTTTATTCTCATCATGATTTTAAATGTCATAAGTTCAACAATTTTAACCTTTGAACAATTTGTTCTCTGAAATCCTTCTATAGAATGTTTACTTAACTGAATTACCCTCCTTTGTAGTGTTTATCATATTTATCAATGTTTTTGGGGAGAAGTTTGATACAACTAGATTTATTAAATGATATAATGTTCAGGTTATTCCTTTCTGCATTACTTGGTTAAACAAATAATTTTGAATTATAGCAAGGGAGAAGCAGCAATCAAACAATTTAAACTCTATTTTGTAGAAATCTACTTGACACATGACATCATTGTTAATTTTAATGTATTCAGTTCAGAATATTCAGTACTACTTTAGAAACTCATTCAAATAGTTAAAACATTTGTGAATTTTTATTTAACCTCTTTTATATTTTGCTGAAGCCCAAAACTGAAACATTTCTCAATAGATTAGATTAACTCAGAATTTGCTTGAATAGAGTAAATAAATGCATCGCATGAGAAACTGTCCATCTGTGTGAAAATTTCCACAGCGTAGGGAGGTGCCATCAGGAAATGCAACAGTTAGTCCATCAGCGGAACACATCGCTGTAGCTCCCATTTTTATCAGTAAGTCTCTTCCTAATAGATTAACTGGAGTTGTGGGCGAACTCACGAAGGAGTGTTTCATGTGCTGATTACCCAATG